ATATATATATATATATGTTTGTATGTAGTCAAAGCAGAATTAAAAATATCAGCAGGTTAGTTTTAAAAGACCGTAACATTGCTAGCATATTAATATCACCAGCTTTAATAAATTACAATAATATCATTTTACCATTCAGCTCAGTGCTCATTCAAAAGTACTTTGGCCTACTAATATACATCAAAACGAAATAAATAGTTTGATTCATTGGTTTTTAAATGATGCACTCTTTTTTATTCAATATGTTACGTTAATAAATACATTATAAATGTTTTTGGTTAGACATGTAAATCATTATATATATACATACACACACACGCGCACATCTGTGTATGTGTGTGAGTGAAGATATTGATTACAAGGTGTCACTGGACCAATTTTTTGTTTTTAAAATATTATTAGAACAATACTACTTTGAATTATTTATCTGTTTATACTCATCATATTACGTAATTTATATGGCCAGGTCTGAAGGTCGGAATCAAATGCAAAACGAGCGAACCCAACGAATATACAACAAAAGCCACAACCAACCTCAACAAGGATGGCACCTTCCACGTCCATCTCCCCACTCATCTTCTCACAACCGACCATTGCTTCGCTCAGCTCCATGATTCAACAAACAAACCATGTAGCCATGACGACTCAACTGAGCACTCGAAGCTTGTCTACAAAGATGACGGCACCTATTTCATTGTCGACAAGCTTAAGTTCTCGTCGGCAGCGTGCTCATCAGCATTGTTTTGGCCCCTCCCTCCGCTACCAACTTGGCATCCCATACACAAATATTTACCTTGGCATAAGCCAAGCCTATATTTTCCTCCTTGGCCGCCTAAACCCTATTTATTTCCCAAGAAACCTCTCCCTCCTCCCATTCCCATCTACATGCCTCCAATCTATAAGCCGCCTATCGTTATACCACCAATCATCAAACCTCCACCAATAGTGAAGCCTCCGATTGTCAAGCCACCTATTATCAAACCACCACCAATAGTGAAGCCGCCCATTATCAAGCCGCCACCAATAGTGAAGCCGCCGATTATCATAGTGAAGCCACCGATTGTTAAGCCACCACCAATAGTTAAGCCACCGATTGTCAAGCCACCACCAATAGTGAAGCCGCCAATTGTCAAGCCACCACCAATAGTAAAGCCGCCAATTGTCAAGCCACCAATCATCAAACCACCACCAATAGTGAAGCCGCCTATTGTCAAGCCACCATCTATTGTCAAACCACCAATATGTGAGTCACCGCCAATTGCCAAGCCACATTGTCAAGCCACCAATATGTGAGTCACCGCCAATTGCCAAGCCACCTATCATTAAGCCACCACCGATTTCCAAGCCACCGATCATCAAGCCACCTCCTATTGTCAAGCCACCTATCATTAAGCCACCTCCAATTGTGAAACCACCAATCAACAAGCCACCCAGTATCAAGCCACCACCAATTGTCAAGCCACCGCCAATCGTTAAGCCACCAATCATCAAGCCACCTCCTATTGTCAAGCCACCAATCAATAAACCATCGCCAATAATCAAGCCACCTATCATCCCACCGATTGTGAAACCCCCAATCTACAAGCCACCCATTGTCAAACCCCCAATAGTGATACCACCAATATACAAGCCACCCATTGTCAAGCCACCAATCTACAAGCCACCCATTGTCAAGCCACCAATAGTGATACCCCCAATCTATAAGCCACCTATTGTCAAACCACCAATAGTGTTACCACCAATCTATAAGCCACCAATAGTGATACCACCAATCTATAAGCCACCCATTGTCAAGCCACCACCACTAGTGATAACTCCAATATATAAGCCACCAATCTATAAAAAGCCACTTCCTCCCATTCCAAAGTTCCCTCCAGTTTACCATAAGCCATTGCCTCCATTTCCAAAGTTTCCTCCCATTTACAAGAAGCCACTGCCTCCACTTCCAGAGTTTCCACCTTACTACAAGAATTTATGGCCTCCTCTACCAAAATTCCCACCTAAACATGGTTGGCCTCCACTGCCCCCCTTATTCCAAAAACCTGCAATTCCTTTATTTCCTCCTACAACCGCGAACTCCAAACCATAGAGGCTTGATCTAAGTAAGCTAGTGCTGGAAGCTCCACTTCTTATTTGTTATTTAATTTACAATAAAATAAGCATTAGGTTGGGTGGGTTGTGTTTGGTTGTTCTTAAGAGTTAAAGATTAGAAGGGTTTGATGACAACTGTTTGTATGCTTCCTTGTTTAATGCTTGAGGTATATTATATGATATGGCATGTATGGCTTTTTTATTGTTGATATATATTTTTATCACTTGAAGTAAAATATAGCTAATCAAATGCATCATTTAACTCTTATATTTGTTTGTTTTCCTTTTGGTAAATTTTACTCTCTTCGTGATTTTATATGTTGAAAACTTAGAAAATGAGAGACAGTACATGTCGTGATCACAACGGTTATGCATGTCAATGTTCTGAGTAGTTGAGAGTAGTAATGGCACAATTGGTTAGGAGCTAGAATGGCTTCTTGAAGAATTAAAAGAGAGCCGTCAAAATATTTAAGACAAATTTATTGATTTGAGATGTCGAACTATATATA